ATTTGGTCCCTTGCCAAGGGAGCCTAACCGGAAGTCCCCAGTAACATGGTTGTTAAGTGAATCTGGCTTCCCCATTGACTTTGCTTGTCAAAAGTTTACAAAAGGTGATCACATGACCCCAGGACCACTACAACTACAAAAGTTGCCAAGTGTCTGAATTTTGATTACGTGACCATGGGGAATGCTGCTACGGCCATAAATGTGAAAAATAGTCATAACATAAGCCATTTTTTTCAGTGCCATTATAACTTTGAATGGTGACTAAATGAAGTGTTGTAAGTCTAGGACTACCTGTAGTAATTTGGGCTCAGTGGAAAAGGGATGAGACAGAAGTATAGCAAATGTGGGATAAGATCCCTGTTCTGGGTTAAACTTATTTGATCACAAACAGAAAAGTCACTACTTTTGGAAGAAACATAGCTTTGGTTTGGTAGTCCTTAGATGATATACAGATAGTCCTTGACTTACAACCAAGCGTTTGGCATGTTTCAAAGTTGCAACAGACCCAAAAGTACGTACAACCTGGATTTGAAATTTTGGTCACCACCTCTTCCCCCATAATTACATGATTGCATTTTGGGCATTGGGCAAACCAGCCCACATTTATGACAGTTTGTAGTATCCCAAAGATTCATGATGGTGATTTATGGTCTTTGCCATAACCAGCGTTTACTTCCAGTTTAAAAACCATGGCATTTGTGTAATGACTTGATTTTGTGACTTGTTTTGATTGCCACAAAATGTCATAAATTGGGTCAGTCACAGGATGACCTACTTAATGACCAGCACAATACTTTGGCTCAATTATGGTTGTAAGTTGGTTCGGTTATTACAGGATATACCCTCACTATATCAATATTGCTGTTCCACATAATTGTATTTTGGTGGCATCTGCTATAATCTTTGTCCTCAAATGCTTTCTGTTTTATTTTTTAAATTTAATAATACTATTTCCTTTCTTCTTTTAGATCTTGAGGTTCATTTCAGATTTTCTTGCTTTCCTGGTACTTTACAACTTCATTATACCCATTTCACTTTATGTGACTGTGGAGATGCAGAAATTTCTTGGGTCTTTTTTTATTGGTTGGGACCTTGATCTCTATCATGAAGAAACAAATGAAAAAGCTCAAGTAAATACGTCTGACCTGAATGAAGAACTGGGACAGGTATAAAATAATTCAAAATAGTATTGAAACATGAGGAACTCGCTTTGATTTAATTAATCAAAAATGGTTAAATTCCTAGTTGTTCTTTCACACGGTTACTATTCCCTATATATTTTATAATTTTTTGTCTCACTTAAAAGTTGTAATTCGAAAGTGGTCAAGCAGCGGTTCACAATCTGAGATTTTAAATGAGCACTGCTGCCATGTAGGATATATCGTGTAATTATTAAAAAAAGATCATTTAATACTTATTTTCCATGTGTGTATAAATAAACCCATTACACCTATTTCAGATAAGCACAATAAATGTGCACAAGTCTGAACTGAGTGCAGCATTCAGCATCTGCAAACCATATGAATGTCCCACTAGTGCAGGGGTGTCAAATTCGATTTTCATTGAGGGCTGCATCAGGGTTGTGTTTGACCTTGGGGGGTGGGTGCGGTGGGTGTGTCCAGGTCAACATTACTCATGTCGGGGGCACTTGTGGTGGTCTGAGCACTCTGCCGGCAAAACGGGCTCCTGAGCTCCCTCTACCACCAGAGCTTGGAAGGAACACACGCAGCCCTTCCTAGCTCTCTTTTCACTGGCAGAGGCACCACGGGCCAGTCCTTCGCTGTTTGCAGGGAAGCCCCGCAGGCCAGATCTAAGCACCCCGCGGACTGGATCCAGCCCCCCCGGGCCTTGAGTTTGACACCCCTGCACTAGTGGGTGTGAAGGAGACTTGCTGCTTTTTTAACTCTTACATTTATTTGACTGACATAACTTCTCAACTTACTGTAGGTGGAGTATGTATTTACAGATAAAACTGGCACATTGACAGAAAATGTGATGCAGTTTCGGGAATGTTCTATTAATGGCCTCAAATACCAAGAAATCAATGGCAGATTAGTTCCCGAGGGATTGATAGAAGACTTTCCAAATGGAGTACAGCCCAGCCTTGTAAGTTCTTCCTAAAATTAACTTCTATGGTCTAAAGTTCGGATCCTTCTTGAAGCTCTTTTTATGAGTGTTTTCCAAAAGTAACTTCTAAACTTTGCATTGTATGAAATTAGTCCTTTAATTCTGACTGCAACTAAGTGTCAGCTTGGAAGGAGGTTGTTACTTGGAACACTGACACTAAGATCTGTTAATATTTGGGTTTCTAAGAAAAAATAGTATATTATCTGCAAAGAGATCTATTGCATAATGCTCCATTTTTTTGTATTTGTCCTAATGTTCTGTGCTAATTGAGAGTGAGCATCCATGTTTGGAATCCTATATTTAAAAATTTTGTATTCAATCCATTGATCCTTATTACTGCTTGAGTATAATGTATCAATTATCCAAAAGAGCTACTTTCAAATCCCAATTCCAACAATTATTTTATTTAAATGTGTTTATACTCTGTCAAATTCAGAATGTAATGGCAGCAGTGCCAATGCAGATTTAGCACAGTTAATGTAATACATTATTAATACTCTTCTAACTGAAGCCTCTGTATTTTGAGGAAAAGAAATTCAGACTGAACTTGAAGTAGGACAACTATTTAATCTTTTGACCAGCAGGTGGGAGAATTATGTACGCTGCTTTAAGATGCACAAAATAAAGGCAGGATATGAATTTAGTAATTAAAAAAATACAAATTTTATCTTACATGGCTGTATCTAATAATACCTTCTAAACAAAATTAAAATAAAACATATTCAAAATTTAAACTTATTACATAAAAACTCCTAATAGCTGGGAAGATTATGTGCATTGTACTCCTAATTCTGTGTCTTGGATTATAAAATGAAGAAGAAAGAGGTTTGACAGACTAGACTTCCTACATATGTAATATCTATATGTACAATAACATGTTCATTATATAAAGCCCATGTTTAGATTCTGTATGAAATAATAGAAAACACCTGGTAGCCTGTAGTCCTCAACTCATTAGCAAAGTTACAACAGACCCTAAAAAAGGAACTTACAAATCGAATTTGAAATTCCACCATCCACCTCCCATCCCTTCCCTCATTGCCAAATTACCACATTTCGGACATTTAGTAATCAACCCACAATTATAGTCATTTGCAGCGTCCCACAGTTTACAATGTTTTTCCAGAAACTGGCATTTATTTCCCAAATTCCCTATAGCGAACAGTGAGCTCACTTTACAACCATTATATTTGCTTTGCAACTATCGCATTTGCTTAATGACTGCAACACACACACCCTGCTTGTAAAATCGGGCACAGTCATATAATGATCTTCTTTATGACCATCTCAACTTATGGCTGAAGTTGCGAGCTCAGCTACCTTCATAAGTTGAGGACTATCTGTAGACTTTTAATTGTTAATAAAAAATAACTATTTTAATAAACTTGTAGATAGGACCATTCGTGAAATATGTAAAATCCTTGTCCAGAGATTTCATAAAACATTGTAAGACCTTGTTCGGTGCTTTGGACAGTATTGTGTGTTGTTGTTTTCTTTTAACTAAAAAACAACATAATACTGTCCAAAGCACTGAACAGTCCTCCAGCTACAGTAGGTCATATGTTCACTCTAGAAATACATAGGCTTATATTCTTGTGGCTGATCATAACTTTCATAGGAGAAAGATAAAGTTAATCAATCAGATTCATTGCAGTGTTTTGTGTTTTTTTTTAACAGACACGTGAGGAAGAACTCTTCCTGAAAGCTCTTTGTCTCTGTCATACAGTGCAGATTAATAATGACCAAACTGATGGCATTTGTGACAGCCCATGGCGTAGCAATGGCCTACCATCTGAATTGGAGTACTATGCCTCATCCCCAGATGAAAAAGCTTTAGTTGAAGCTGCTCGCAGGTAAGGATTATAAGCCATTATAAATGGATAAGTCTTTGTCTGGAGTCCAGTTGAGGCGACAAGCAAGGAGAAGAGAGGTCCAACTACTGTCCAGCCTTTCTTTAACTCTTTACCTGATGTGCTGTTGTATGACTTCTAGAATACCAGGGATGAATTACCAGGAGTAATTGCATTAGTGTTTGTAACACAACTATGGTTGGTTAATAAAGTAAAAGCCATCATACCAAACTGATTGTTTCTGGGCCCTCTGTTAGATTACCCTCCTCACTCTTCCATTTCATAAATTAAGCTAATGAGTCTCAACAAAACTGCAGCCAAAGTATTGCAGAATTTCAGTACCTTGAAAATCAGACATCACTGTCAGCCAATCAGTCGTGTCCGTCCCTCGGCCACTCTATGAATCAGCAGTCTCTATGTCCCTCTGACTCACACCTCCTCCTTCAGATCCTCCATTGTCATCCCAGTATCATCCTTTATAATGCCCAACCAGAAGATGGTAGGACGGCCTTTTCTCCTTTTTCCACTGATCATTCCCAGTGTGATTTACTGATTGAGAATCATTGATTGACATGATAGAAAATCAGAAGGGATGTAGAAATGTCAAACTGAGAATGCCATTTAAGCCACAAACTCCCTGTTGAGTGTAGAAATCCAAATAAGGGATCCATAGCAGATATCTACCTGACATCAACTTGTGCAATTCCTTGAGAGAAACCCCCAAAATTGTGCATACTGTTTTTGTCATACTTCAGGAGGCTGAAACCTTGCAAGAAGCTCATGCCTTCTCCAATGCTTCAGAAAGCCTTCAGAAAACTTCTGATGCTTTCCAAAGCATCACATGGAGAGTGCCTGTAATTTGGAGAATTGAGTGTGTGGCCTCTGGAAGAAGGTCTAGGACCTCCAGCCCTTTCTTTGCATAGGGACAAACCTTAGTGTGCTTTGTCAGTGGCGGGAGGAAGATGATGTACATCAGCTGGCCATAGCAAGATTTGCAGAGCACAGAGCGGTGGGGATTTTGCGCTGTGGCACTGGTACAATCTTGTTCCTTTTCCTAACGTAACTAAATCTATACGGCATACATTTTAATTCTTGTTCTTTAATCTCATTGCATAGAGATTAGCAAAAATTGGAGTCTAGATGTTAGTTTTGAAATTTGTTTAAGTTTTGATTAAATTCACTGGCTTTAATACAGCTTGTTACTGTTAAGTTCAACCATCCTTAAACAAGAGTCTTATTATGAAATCTAAAAGCACATTCATGAAACAATTATTTAAGATTCTTTCTAAAAACATTTAAAAGCTATGCCTGGATAATGGTGAGTAATGTTGCTTTTCTATCTTTAGACATTGTTTTTAATTTCCATAAGGCTACCCCTTCGTTCACTTTCTTTTGAATTTTTAGGGTTGGTGTTGTGTTTACTGGGGCAAATGCAGAAAGTATGGAGCTTAAAAGCGGTGGAAAGCCAGAAAGGTAAAAAACAAAGAAGATGTTTCCTTGTTTTTTTTAAAAAAAATAGTTGAAATTCAATTGAAAAAGAGTGAAAAAATCTATGGTCCTAGAGATAGCAATAGCACTTAGACTTATATACCTCTTCACAGGGCTTTACAGCCATGTCTAAGTGGCTTACACAGTCAGCATGTTTCCCCCAACAATCTGGCTCCTCATTTTACAGACCTCGGAAGGATGGAAGGCTGAATGAAACTCCCATCAAAATGGATTAACAAGATCCTAATTTCTGAATCTTAACCCATTTTAAACTTTCATGAGAATCTTTATCTCACTCCCCCTGTGCAGAAAGAAGCAATATAAAAGGAAATAATAACTAAGGAACATACTTTTTTTTTCAACAAAGTATTTCTTCAGATCTTTGGATCACGAGTTATAAATTTGCTGGGATTAAGAAAAAGACAGTGTCAACTGAAGGAAGCAAAAGAATGTTAAATAGGCTATATACTGGGTTAGCATTTACCAGTTTGTATCCAGGCCTTCCTCCAAGAAACTTGATGATCATATATGTGAGGTCTTCTTATTGTTGTTATTATCAGACTTATTTCTTCTATTATGCTGTCTTGGGTATTGCTACATCCACTGTCCAGACTTTTATCTTTCTTATGGACAGTGGTTAAGTCTGGGTGCTTTGTGACAGGTGTTTGTCTGTTTGAATTCTAAAGTCCCAGAGCTTCTTTACTTCCTGTGACTTTCTCTATTTTATGATCCCACCAGTTTTTGCTTGCAGGCAAAGGATATTTTTTGCAGATCTTCCAATGCGCCATTGTTGCTTCTTTGTCGTGTCATTGTTTGTGGCCAGCCTGTGCCCTTGCCAACTGCTAACAATGTGGTCCACTGTTTCTTCAGCTTTTTTATAGAGGCAACACTTGCTATTTATTACTGTCTTCTCAGTTTGCATTTGTTCTTAAGGCTTGGTCTCACGTACTGTGCAAAAGGCTTGCTTTCCCCCCAAGCATTGGGAGAAGATTAGATAATCGTACATTAAAACAAATTGGTGCCAGGTTTTTATTATTTTTAATGTTTTCATCAGTTGAGTTTTATAATTTTAAAGTGATATTATATGTCTTTTAATTTTGATTGGGAGCCACTCAGAATTGGTTGAAAGACGGGTGGCTACATAAATGTTTTAAATAAATAAAATAAATCATCATCATTATTATTTGACTATTACGATTACTCTCCTATCATAACAGTTTTGCAAAGTAGCTTTGTGCTCTTTTTTTAAATACGAAGGTTATTAAAAGTTTTGAAAGATAACATAAAAACTAAGGCAAACTAATACAGCATAAAGGAAACAAAAAGAAAAAGACAAAAGTTCAGAAACAAAAGATAAAAATAAAAAGCATTTTAAAAATGCTTCCAATTCTGCATTTTCCTTTGAAGCAAATATTAAAGTATGATTACAAAGTTTTTACTCTGATTACAGAGTAATAGCTTACTATTCCCTATTTTTTTTCTAATTATCTAAACCACAAGTCAAAAATGCATTTTTTCTGTTTGATACAGAAAGTCTATAAAGGATTTCTAGTCAACCATAAATGTAGAAATTGTTTCTCTAATAAAAAAACATAATTTAGTGATTTCTGAAAGTGCCATTATCTTTATCATCTATTACTCTATTGTGAGTAGTGTTTGAACTTTTCCACTTTTGAACATATAGCCATCTCACTGCAGTTGTCGTATATAAAAGCAAAGTCCCGTGGCTTTTTTCTAGTTGTCTGTCTATTAATCCCAAATGAAAAGTGTCTGGATGTACATTAGCTTTTAATGTCTTCTGAATTAGTGCATTGATTTGCATCCAAAATTTTTGCGGTTTTTTTTACCCACCTCCTATATGTGATAAACTATCCTGTCATATTCTTCACACTTAACAGAATAACAGAGTTGGAAGGGACCTTGGAGGTCTTACAGTCCAACCCGCTGCTCAGGAAACCCCATGCTCAGGAAACCTGCTGTCCCACTGCTCAGGAAACCCTGTACCATTTCAAACAAATGGTTGTCCAATCTCTTCTTTAAAATTTTCAGTGTTGGAGCATTCACAACTTCTGGAGGCAAGTTGTTCCATTTACAGGATAGATTTGAAATAAAGATCCACCCTGACCCTCATGAATAAATTCTTGCAAAATTATTTTCAGTCTTTCAGCTAAAATCATTCTAACCAACTTACAATCATTAGTCAGTATTGAGATTGGTTTGTAGTTTGTTGCTAGTCAAATCTTATCCCTCTTTAGCCATTAATATTATATTGGCTTCTTTCCAACTCTCTTTGACATTTTTCCTCCCTGTAAAATAGAATTCACTGTGCTTTGTAGAGGTTGTAAACATACATCCTCAAAACACTTGTAATGCAGCCTCAATAACCCACCTGGTCCAGGCATCTTTGTTGATTTACTCTTTTAGTAGCTTCTTAACATTGTATCTTCCATTAATGTGCTCTGAAAATACTGGTATTCCTTCTAAGCTACAAACCAGGATCTCCTCTCCTTAAGTGTCACTTGAACAGTTAATGATATCTCAGCTTTAAAACTGGCTTTCTGTGAGCACTTTGTTTTCCTAAGTATACAGGTGGTATTCGGCTACATTGAAGAAATAGAAATCCACTTAAAGTGAATTCTTATAAGCAAGCCACTTAGTGAAACGAGATGTGAAGATCAAGTAAACTGCGAACGGCTTTGGGGAAATAGTACATTCAGGAGTCCCTTCACCTTTGTTCCTTCCTGTTTCTCTACCCGCATCAGTCACAGAAATGACTATAATCAGCCACTCTGTTGAGAGGAGTCCTCTTCTCTTCTCCAGGCCCTGCATGCTGTCAAGTATAACCTATGTGTGAATTGCAGGCATGCAGTTTTCATAATTTTCTACATTTCACAAGAATGGCTTTCATTTCCCAAACCCAAATTAAGCATGAGCCTCTTCTCTTTTAAAGGTACAAATTACTACATATACTGGAATTTGATGCCAATCGTAGGAGAATGAGTGTGATCGTAGAAAGTCCGTTGGGTAAGATTTTTTTTTAATGTGATGTTTTTGATGTTATGTATTCTCCGACCCCCTAAAGCCAGTTCTTTAAAAAGAACATTAATAGCCCCTGAGAAGCGCTACTAATTTGCACTTTTTGTTTTCTTGGATAGGTGAAAAACTCTTATTTACCAAAGGAGCAGATTCTGTTATTCTTCCTACCAGTAAAAATGGTGAGGTAGAAAAAACAAGACTCCATGTGGATGAATTTGCATTGGTATGTTCAGAGCACTGCTTTCAAACTTTCTGGTAGATAATGGTAGAGGTACTGCTAAACCGGGGGTGGGGAACTGTGGCCCCTGTGGGACCTGTGGACTTCAACTCCCAGAATTCCTAGCGATGCCCAACACATATGTAAATCAGCTCTTAACCCAAACACTTAATGGACCTGAAATATTATATATTATACTGCTTATTATAGTATCATTGTATTTGTTACCGTAATAATTGCCTTTTGATTTAGCACAGGGGTGGGGAACTATGGCCCCTGTGTGACCTGTGGACTTCAACTCCCAGAATTCCTAGCATCGCTAGGAAATTCTATTCATAGGGCATTGGCTTGAGATCTTCAGATAGCTACCCGATGCCGACCCCATTTATGGATTTTGTTATTAAGCTGGGGTTGATGGGAGTGCCTGATTTTACCACAAACTTTCCCATCAGCCCCAGCTTTGATGTTCAGGGACTATAGGAATCGCAATCAAAACATCTTGAGAAAATGGCATTTGGAAAAATAAACCATTTCATCTTCTTCAGACCCCGCGCCTTTCTCTACTTCCCTCTCTTCCTCCTACTTCTCCCCATATCCAGTTGCCTCTGATTTAAGTGGCACCTTCTTCTCCCAGAGAGAAGAATCTCTTCATTGCCTTCCAAAATTAGCAATCTGAGGGGGCAGACCGCATCTGTCCTTGAACTTTGGTCTGTTATGCTTGGTTTCACCCTCTTCCATTAATGGGGGTATAAGTGAAGGTACCTTGTCAAAAGCACTTTTGGGGAGACCTAAACTGTCAGGGCTTTCATTTAATGAAGCAGCACACTCCCATCAGTAAGTAAATCTTTTCGTCAGTGTCTTATCTAGTACCCGCTCTCTATTTTTTCCACAGAAAGGGCTAAGGACTCTTTGTGTAGCATACAGAAAGTTCACAGAGGAGGAGTATAAAGAAGTGGAGCAACGTCTTTTTGAAGCAAAAACTGCCTTGCAGCAACAAGAAGAACGGCTGGCAGAGGCATATAACTTTATTGAAAAAGACTTGGAATTACTTGGAGCTACAGGAGTCGAAGACAAGTACATACTTCCTGTTTATTTGGGAAAAGAAATTCTGACACAGGCAAAATAGCTTGATGCTCATTCATCTCTCCGTAAATAGCATTATGTGATGTGTAGATTTTTCCACTCAACATAAAGAGGGAAGATGGCACTTGGAATCACAGCACCCAGCCTTGTGTGAACAAGTAGAGATAGTCCTTGACTTAACAACCCTTCGTTTAATGATCATTACAATAGCACTGAAAAAAGGGACTGATTACCATTTTTCACACTTGACCATTGCAGTATCCCCGTGATCACATGATCAAAATTTGGACCCTTGAAAACTGCCGTATATTTATGACAGTTGCGGGGTCCCAGGGGGTCCTGTGATCACTTTTTGCAACCTTCTGACAAGCAAAATCAGAGGAAGCCAGATTCAATTAACAACCATGTTATTAACTCAACAATGTGGTGATTAACTTAGCAACTATGCTTAGCAAATATGGCAAAACTCACTTAACTTTTGTTTAGCAACATAAATTTGGGGCTCAATTATGCTCCTAAGTTAAGGACCACCTCTATCCTATTGAACACGTTTCATGTTTCACTTCAAAACTTTGTAGCTGCCACCTCACAACCATAAGATGAGTTAGGAAGGTGACAATTGGTATTTAACAGACCCAATTAAGAAGGGGGTGAGTGTGGTGAGTCTGGAAATTCAAATTGATAAAAGATAATATTTATAGCTCAGGGTTGAACTGTGGAGTCCTTGTTGCTCTTTAAGCTTAGTTGCCTGAATGAAACCTCTACAAGAAAACAGCCAAGCTCAGAGAAAAATATGAACTCTACTGGGAATTGGGATCATTAAAATATAGCTTCTGCTATCCAGCATGTTCCCCTATGACATGAAATCTTACCTGTAGCAGCGGTGACCATCCTGTTGTAGAATACTTTATTGGCCAAGTGTGGCTGGACACACAAGGAATTTGTCTTGGTGTAAATACTCTCAGTATACATAAAGAATAGGTACATTCATTAAGAATCAAGAATCATAACGTACAATACTTAATGACAGTCATAGGGACTGACTGACTTAATGGCAGTCATTGATTTGATCAACAATCAAATCATACATGTAAGGATACAAGCAACAAAGTTACAGTCCTACAATCACAAGTGGGAGGGGATGGGTGATAAGGAGTGATGAGAACAGTAACAGTAACAAAATGTAACAGTGTACACTTTGTAAATAGTTGAACGGTGTTGAGGGAATTATTTGTTTAGCAGAGTGATGGCTTTCGGGGAAAAAACTGTTCTTGTGTCTAGTTGTTCTGATGTGCAGTGCTCTATAGCGTCATTTTGAGGGAAGGAGTTGAAACAGTTTATGTCCGGGATGTGAGGGGTCTGTAAATATTTTCACAGCCCTCTTTTTGACTCGTGCAGTATACAGATCCTCGATTGAAGGCAGGTGGGTAGTAATTGGTTTTTTTGCAGTCCTAATTATCCTCTGAAGTCTGTGTCTGTCCTGTTGGGTTGCAGAACCAAACCAGATAGTTATAGAGGTGCAGATGATAGACTCAATAATTCCTCTGTAGAACTGGATCAGCAGCTCCTTGGGCAGTTTGAGCTTTCTGAGTTGGCACAGAAAGAACATTCTATGTTGTGCTTTTGTGATGATGTTTTTGATGTTAGGTGTCCATTTTTGGTCATGTGATATAGTAGAACCTAGAAATTTGAAGGTCTCTACTGTTGATACTATGTTGTCTAGTATTGTAAGAGGTGGTAGTATGGGAGGGTTTCTTCTAAAGTCTACCACCATTTCTACGGTTTTGAGTGTGTTCAGTTCCAGGTTGTTCCGGTTACACCACGAGGCAAGTTATATAACCTCCTGTCTGTATGCAGATTCATCTTTGTCTCGAATGAGACCAATCACTGTTGGTCACTTCAGTATTTTAACAGATGGATCATTTGAGATGCAGTCCTTGGTATATAGGGAGAAGAGAAGTGGAGAAAGCACACAGCCTTGGCGGGCTGCTGTGCTGATTGTACAGGCATCGGATGTGATTCCACCTAGCTTCAGCTGCTGCTTCCTGTCTGTTAGGAAGCTTATGATCCACTTACAAGTGTGTTCAGATACCGCTAGTTGGTTTAGTTTACTTAGAAGAGTGTCTGGAATGATGGTATTTTGAATGCTGAACTGAAGTCTACAAAGAGGACCCTTGCGTAGGTATTTGGAGATTCGTTGATGGCCTTGATGCATAAAGGTGACAGTGCGAGTAAAATTCAATTCTCGGTGACATTTTCTTCACTACAATGCAGAAGTAGTTTGCCCCAGCATTCTTTGGGAATGCTTATTTGTTTGTAACTTCCTCGTCTAGCTTATACTGTAGGATTCCTGGTGATCTAGATCCTTCCTACTTAGCTTTTTTTTCCCCCAACAGCAAGCAAAGTCACTAGGTGCTACTTCCCATTGTTGTGCCTGTTAAAAATGAACCTAGTTTCTTAAGTTGTTGCTTCTTGGAATTAGCCTGAATATGGAAATAACTTGACCAAGTTTGATGAATGCATTGGATGCTCAGACATGAAATATCCGAAGTGTTTGAATATAAAATATCCAGTTGTTCGAAGGCAAACCTTTCGATCTTCTCCATTAACAGTGAAAACAGATAATCTTAACAACAACAAAAAAAAAAAACAGCAGGAGCCCGGTAGCCCCCTTTCAGACAAACAAAATATATTCAAAGGGATAAGCTTTCCTGTACTACAGTTCACTTCATCACATCCATCTTCGTCAGAGCTGTAAAAATAGTACAGCTCAAGTTACAACCACAATTAAGTTACGACCACAAGTGAAACATTTGTTAAGTGAGTTTTGCCTGATTTTACAACCTTTCTTGAAGCAATTGTTAAGTGAATCATTGCAGTTTAAGTTAGTAAGACGGTTTTATGTGAATCTGGCTTCCCCATTGACTTTGCTTGTCAGAAGTTTGCAAAATGATCACGTGATCCTGGGACATTGCAATGGCCAAAAAATACATGCCAATTGCCAAGGGCCTGAATTTTGATCACGTGACCATGGGGATGTGAAAAAAGTGTGAAAAATTGTCTTAAGTCACTTTTTTCAAAGCCATTATAACTTTGAACAGTCACTAAATGAACTGTTGTATGTTGAGCACTACCTGCAGTCATCTCTGAATAAAATTTGTTAGTCTGAAAACACCCTATCAGAGTCTTTCTGATTTGGTACTAACAGATTACAGCAGCTGTGCTACAATGTGTCTAAGCAGAGACATTTTGGTCCTGACCAATCAGTTCTGATAACTGTTCACCAATGCACTTTGCTTACTTTTTAGGCTGCAAGATAAAGTCCAGGAAACCATAGAAGCTCTTCGATTGGCGGGGATTAAAGTGTGGGTGCTCACTGGAGACAAGCACGAAACGGCAGTAAGCGTTAGCTTATCATGCGGACACTTCCACAGAACCATGAACATCCTGGAACTAGTGCAGCACAAATCAGACAGTACGTGTGTGGAGCAGTTAAGACAGCTCGCCAAGAGGTAAAACCTTGCACATTTCCGAACTGATGTCGACAGCCTCTGATAGGGAACCGAGGTTTCTAAAATAGTGTTTCTTAAGTGTGGTCCAAGATCCCCTGAGGGTCCCCCAAGACACTGTCAGGGGTGCTCAAAATCAAAATTATTTGCCAGCCTATGTTTAAAAAAATAATACAATATTAAAATCCTAGCAAGCAGTTGTGAGAAATGGCAGCAACAGTGAATGCATCAGTTTTAATTTTTAATATGTCAGACATCAATAAATATGAACCCATAATATGAAAAGCTCTTTTGGGGTCCTCCATAACTTTTATGTTGTTCAGAATATTCCAAAATAACCGATACAGTTCTAGCATACAAGTCCTGAGAGAAAAAAAAAACAGTTAAGAAACACTGTTTTAAAAGATTCTAACTTTTTTTTTCAATAGACACTTGACTATAAACTAGAAAAACCTGGTTTTGAACTATAAATAAGTTGCGTTGTTGGCATTACCAACAGTACTCTAAGCTCAAAATGGCCCTGTTTTGAACTCGGAGCACTTCTAGAGTGGTTGTAAACAACATAAGGGACAGTTTTAATCAGCTCAGAAATAACTAAAATAGGACATTTCCAGCTTGAGATTTTTTTTAACGTTACCAACACGAAATTTTCAATATGAAAACAAAGCAATCTTATTACATCATCTTCGCCGCAAAATGAGCATATAATACGTTAACGAACCTGCTGCTTAGCAGGTGGGAAGGGTGCCTAGTTCAGTCTGTTCTCATTGTCTGCCGTTGATCGTAAAGCATTTGATGTGTCTGACTGGTGTCCTTCATGAAACAACGATGGATTTGTTTGTCCTGTTCTCCCCACCCACCCCCACCCTTTGTTAGAATAAAGGATGACCACGTAATCCAGCACGGGCTGGTAGTGGATGGGACCAGCCTCTCCCTTGCCCTCAGGCAACACGAGAAACTCTTCATGGAGGTCTGCCGAAATTGCTCGGCTGTCCTGTGCTGTCGCATGGCACCCCTTCAGAAAGCAAAGGTGAGTTATCGGGAGCTCATGAAGTTTGAGCACCAGCTGTGTTTGGCTGCTATAACCTGCCTCGGCCTCTCTCAGCCTTCCTGTTTCCAGCTGAGTTTAGAAGGATTGAGTGTTCTGCCTAATAACCCCCTGCCCACCTGTCTACAAAAGAGATAGACAGTAGGGCTCGCCATTGACTGTCTTGCCATATGATTGCCATGTGCTTTTATAGGGGTACAGGTAGTCCTCAACTTTGAATGGTTTAGTGACGGTTCAAAGTTACAACGGCACTGGAAAAAGTGACTTATGACCGTTTTTCACAACCCCATGGCCACGTGATCAAATATCAGACACTTTGGCAACTGACTTGTATTTATGAACCGACTCACACTGATGAAGGTTGCGGTGTCCCAGGGTCATGTGATCACCTTTTGTGAAATTCTGACAAGCAAAGTCAGTGGGGAAGCCAGGTACACTTAACAACCATGTTATTAACTTAACAGCTGCAGTGATTCTCAACAACTATGGCAAGAAAGATTGTAAAATGGGGCACAGATCACTTAACAACAGAAATTTTGGGTTCAGTTGTCATCGTAAGTCAACCACTACTGGTACCCAAAGTACACCACTACTGGTACCCAAAGTACATCAACATTTCCCTACCTGTCAGCTTCGGAAGTCTTGATGTAGCAATCACCACTATGTACTGTATGTACTGATTCCCAAATAATGTCATTTTTTTTAAAAAAGAAGTCTCTCTTTCCTTTACAGGTTGTACGGCTGCTGAAAACATCTCCAGAGAAGCCTATCACATTAGCTATCGGTGATGGAGCTAATGATGTGAGCATGATACAAGAAGCTCATGTTGGCATAGGTAATATTTAGGTGATGGTCGAAGTCTCACTGTATTTAAACTTTGTTAATTGGGATTTATAACGGGTATAGATAAAAAAGTAATAGATTCTATGTACACAGGAGCCTTTCAGTTAAATGAAATAAAAAGTAAAACATGTTTAAATAAGTAAAGCATCCTTACATCCAACTTGTCAACCAGGAATGTCTTCTGAAAAGGCCTTCAATTTAAAAGCATGATCCCAAATTCAGAATAAGTCCCAAGCTTCAGAAAATCTTTTAAAACCTGGCTTTTTACGAAAGGCATAAGTAATGATCCTGTGCTGGGTTTATGATTGCATCTTCTCGGTTGCAAATATTTCCTTTAAAATTTAGTTGCAATTGTTAATTTTTAGATTGTAATTTTGTTTTTCTTTTAATTAGAATATTAGAATTCTTTATTGGCCAAGTGTGATTAGACACACAAGGAATTTGTCTCCAATGCATAAGCTCTCAGTGTACGTACAACAATAGTGATAGATTATTATCATAGTAATTATTATCATAATCATCTTAACGTAAGATGGAAATGCAGGCCACTTAAATTTTATCAGATTGCAGTAGAATGATAAGCCAAGTAAATAAATTAATAACACCACACCTTCTGCAATTTGATGCCCACCAAATTTGCTGTGAGTGTTAATGCCAGCTGGGTATATAGTCCTAGCATATTTGAAGGAACCTAGGTTAGTAAAAAAGGTTTTAAAAAATGTTATTTTTTCTATGGGAATTGATTGCTTGCCACTGTTTCCAAGCTGTTTCCTCTAGAGCAGAGGATCTCAAAGTGTAGCCGAGATCCCTTCAGGGGTCCGCAAAATCAAAATATGGCAACATTTCTCAGTTCTAATTTCTAATACAATATATATTAATAGACATAATCCACATCAACTGAAGCTCTCTGTGATCCTCAGCCATGTTTAACAATGAAAATTAGTTTTGAGACCAAAATGTTTGAGACATTTTGGTCTCAAACATTTACTATCCTCTGAAGCAGGATAGTAAATGGTGAATATGGCTATTGGTAGAAGTATCCACCACCACCCCCAGCCCCCAAAATATTTCTGGGCCCTTCCATGAAAAAAAGAGCTTGGTTGTATAACTGAGCAATAGAAAATACCTATATACCTATATACCTACTCTTTCTGTTGTGGAATAAAAGGTGTGCTCTTATCTGGTCAGGCCCCTTAAATCTCCAAACAGCACCCTGAAAGGGTCTTGAATCTTCCATTATTGTTGCATATGTTGTTTCACTTTGACTTATACGTGTCCTCATGCTTAAAAAGACAAGTTCATTTTGTTATTTTTGCTTACCCAAATTGCAGGTATCATGGGAAAAGAAGGCAGACAAGCTGTAAGAAACAGTGACTATGCAATAGCAAGATTTAAATTCCTCTCCAAGTTACTTTTTGTCCATGGCCACCTTTATTATATTAGGATAGCAACCCTTGTACAGTACTTTTTTTACAAGGTAAGTGTCCGTAGCATATTACTGGCGATTCTTTTAGCTCAGAACTTTTTCTATAAATAGTGGGTTTACTTGCAAAAGTGGGTAGTGCATAAACTCTGATATTCAATTATAATTACGATTATGCTTGGAACGTGTCAAGTTTAGTAGGGTGATATTAAGAAAAGAGGTGTTGTACAAACTGGATCTATAGGTAGTCCTCGTCTTACAACAGTTTACTAAGTGACTGTTCTAAGTTACAACGGCACTGAAAAAAGTGACATGACCATTTTTCAGAGTTATGACCTTTGTAGTATCCCCATGATCATGTGATCAGAATTCAGATTCTTGCCAACTGGCAACATACTTAAGACGGTTGCAACATCCCGGGGTCTTCTGCAGCCTTCTGACAAGCAAAGTCAATGGGGAAACCAGATTCACTTAACCACCAGGTTACTAACTTATCAGCTGCAGTAATTCACTTAACAGCTTGGGCAAAAAATATTGTAAAATGGGGGGGAAACTCACTTAACAAATGTCTCACCTAAGAACAGAAATTTTGGGCTCAGTTGTGGTTGTAAGCAGAGGACTACCTGTCCTATGTCATTGTTAACACTAGCATTTTCCCAAATTTTGTTTCAAGTGCCAGCGTAACAATGACAGCATATTAACCCTGCTAAAATGATACGGGATAGCCCATGGTTCTGTGCATCTCCTTATACAGGAATGCAAATGTCTCCATCCTATTCGTCCCCCTCCCTTCCGATTCCCTTAATTTCATTGAATGTAGGCTGACAAAAATGAAACCATCCAAATGGAGTTCCGTTTCACCCCATCTTTCCTCATTGCTGTAGAGAAAAAAAAAATAGCATTCTACAATGCTATTTGTAGCATTCTACAAAAAGCACTTTTTAAAACAAACCATGAACGTAGAGGTTTGGTTTCCAGAAAAACAACCTATGAATATAGTCAAATAGATACATAGTCCTCAACTTAGGACACTCATGGGGACTAAGTTGTGCCCAATTTTACAATATTTTTCCCATGGGGTTGTTAAACAAATTACTGCAGTTGTTAAGTGAAACATCTGGGACATTAAATGAATCTGACCACCCCCACTGACTCTGCTTGTCAGAAACTATGGGAAGGTTCCAAACGGCAATCATACGATACCGGGATGCTGCAACAGTCATAAGTGTGAGGTCTAGTCATAGGTCACTTTTTAATGACATTGTAATTTTGAACGGTTACTAAAGGAATGGCTATAAGTCAAGGACTACCTGCAAGGTTTTTTCCCTGATGATATTCAGTAGGAGCTTCCATCACCTTCCACTAAGTTGCTGCTAATTTCTTCACTTCCAAGCCAATACATACCTGCGGTAAAACTATTTCTGATAAACCAGCTTTTAATCATGGTTACAGAATCTAGATTATAAACAGGCTGTGATCTCTTTTGATGGGCACATCATGCAGATCACAGTTAAAAGGCAAAGTGAGATGAGAGCCTTCTGGCTAGGAATCAGGAGAGAGTTCACGCTTTCTATTTCAAACAAGGTGCTACGAAGTTTAGAGTGGTGGTGGCATTAGTGAAAATTGCTTCATTGGTTGTGACATTGATGGAACCCGAGTGCCTTGTGGGAGAACTTCCTCTCCACCACTTTCTTCAATGAGTAGTTTAATTCCAGTGAGTGATAACATTATCCACCTGGATGATGAATCTCAGTAGATGAGGGTGTTTTTTTTACTTCTTTTGATATTCAAGATATGTTTGGATGAGCGTGATAGAATTTGGTGTTTTATGTCTCTCACTGGTTGCATCACATCTTGTTTTCCAGAATGTGTGTTTTATTACACCGCAGTTTTTATATCAATTCTTCTGCTTATTTTCACAACAAGTGAGTAGTCAGATTTTTTTATTCTTCTCCTCTTTCTGTCTTCACATTCTGATTTGTAGGCAGCCACCAAGAATTCACACTGTATCAGAACTAAAATCAAACACCTATTACTAACAGCTAGATGACGTTTCACTAGCATCTGTTTCCCCATCCCTATATATTTCCTTTACCTTTTCTGTCTGTAAAAATATATCCAAGAACAATCCCATTTCTTGTTGAGAACCATTTTATTGTTAGGCAATCAGAAAGATAAAAACTGAAAGTTGTGTTAAAGAGTTCCATATGGAATAAGAGTTTAGTCAAAGTAATATTTATCTTTGGATAGCGCTGATTAGTTCTGCTAATTCTTTTTCTATGTTTGAAAGCCAAAAGCACTTTTAAAAAACGGATTTCATTTTATATCTGGGAGGCAAGTGACAGTTATAGCCAGATCAAGAAGGGATTTTCTTATTAATCAGATTTAGCTCATTTAAATGTATACCAGTTTAAATTTAAGATTTAAATTTAAGATGTTCTGTATTGTAACTCAGATTATCCGTAGCCAGTAATGTTTGTCCTTTCTTGCATTTCTGAAATTAATTTGTCTTACTCTATTATGAATTCTAGCAAATTCTAATTTATCTTAATACATATATCTATAAATAACCTAATAAAGACTATCGATAATCCTGAGTGCCCCCATTTAAGAATGGTTAGTAACGGAGTCTTATCACAGGCTGATTTTCCTACCTCTAAATTCAGTATTCTAAGTATTATTCTAAACAGACAACAATATGAAATTAAAAAGTGGGTTGACTGAAAAGAAACCAGGTACCATTTAAACAGAAGGAGTTTCTTTCTGAAGTGAAGAATAAGATGATAGCAAACGCCCTTCCCACCTCTCCTGCCTTTCCTTCTACGCTGCTCCAGTTCCTAACTTTTCTTTTACATGGATCATGGGATGATCTGGATTGAATTTGGTGACAAACCACTCTTTGCTTCAATAAGAAAGTAAGCTGAGGTGACCACTCAGCATCTATCATCTACAAGCAGCGTTTCTCAACTGGGCTGATTTAAGATGTACGGACTTCATTTCCCAGCATACCTCATGCTGGGAGTTGAAGTCCCCACACCTTAAAAGTTGCCCAGGTTGAGAAACACTGACATAAAGTGACTATTAGCTTTGTCCAATGTTAAAGCCTTTTCCTCCCCGATACACACACACACGCACACAGCATTTTCCAAGTTGATGTTCTTTTTTATACCTTTTTGGATACTGCACCAAAGAACTCCTGTTAACCCATACTTACCTAGAATTAAACACAACATTTCCTGTTCTTGCAGGACTTCTCTACACTGATATTTTTATTAGAAAGAATGTTAAGACCATATGTGTTTGAGGGGGAAAAGAAGAAATTTAAGTATGGTATCTTTATTGCATTTCTTCTTTGTTAATGTTAATATAATAAAACAGACATTTAGATGGGGCGGGGGAGTTGGTTGAGTTCTGTCTGTATGGGTTTTTAAACAATCACCAATTCTCCACCTTTCTCACCTTTCAGACTCTGTATGACAGCGTGTACCTGACTTTGTACAACATTTGTTTCACTTCCCTGCCAGTCCTCATGTACAGCCTTTTTGAACAGCATGTGCATCCTCATGTATTGCACAGCAAGCCAACTCTCTACCGGTAAGCATGGTCTGTTCAGGAGAGGATTTTGCTTGGTAAGAGATAAGTTGTACGGCTCCTCCTCCTCAAGAACCACTTGTCAGACCCAAAGGATGCTGAGTTTTAACGCCTAGGTTGTTGGTAGAAATGGCTAATACTCATTTGAAATATTAGAGGAATCTCTATGAAGTTAAGCCATGATGGAGCATATTTTTTATATCTTAAGATTTGTTGTAGAGTCAGTTCAGCCATCTTCAGTTAATGAGTTTGTTTGTTCATTGAATTTATTTGCCTTCTCCTCCATCTGAATGAAAAAACCATGGGTGGCTTCCAGAATTAGAACAGTAAAATCTATCCCCTCCCATTTCCTGCAAGGAATATAAATCCTTCCATTCCCTACCATCCAGTCAGAGCTGAAGAAGCTTCTTGGATAAGAAGTGAAACTTCTTCAAAGAAAAACCAGAAAGTCCAGTTGCCTCTTGAAAAAGCACCTTTGGGGCAACTATGACTTGGATGACTGAGAATCTCCGTACACATTCAGTGAAATCCTAACAAATGTCTTCAATAGCCCCTCCGTCAGTGTGATGCTTTCCCATTAGGGCCCCGAGCTATCTGGCAGAGTCAGGTCTTCAGACCCCTGCAGAAGGATAGAAGAGGCAATCTATCCTCAAGAGTTTCTGGAAGCAGAGCCAGAAATTGCTCTGGCTGGGATATGCCAGCCAGAGAAGCCAGAGAAGAAAGGATCAGAGTATAGAAAGCAGGGGATGTTCATATTGTGACTGTTAGCATAATTTTAGAAGCCCTTTGCAAGTAGTTAACTTAAACACTCTGAGAGATTCTCGGTCATCCAAGTCCTAGTTGTCTCAAAGGTGCTTTTTCAAAAAGCAACTGGGCCGTTTTTTCCATGAGGAGGAAGAAAACATTTAGTTTCTCATCCAAAATCTTCATCAGTTTTGATGGGGGGGGGGGGGGGGGGGATAGGTACTTATCAGTTGGGACCAGTATGGTAGGAGGCTGAAAGTTCTGACCAGATGGTGGGACAGGGAGATGGAAGGATTGAGGAAAGGAGATCTGTATGTCATGAATAGTTTGTTGGGAAGAAGAGAAAGAGAAAGAAGATGATTGTATTCAATGTACAGCTGGAGGCCCACCTACCACTGTCCTCAGTCTCATCCTTCATTTATACATTTATCTGTATGTTTGTTTGATTTATAACTCACCTTGGGTGCACAGGTGCTCAAGATGTATCCTGCTTCTTCCTGCTATTTTTCCTAGTAAATCTGTGAGATAGAAACCTGCATTCCCCAGTCCTAGTTCAGTGCCTTACCCACCGCACCCACTGCCTCTCAATAGCAATGCTGCCTCTGGTTGATTCCCACTCCCAAGGAATGTGTGCAAATTCAGAAGAATCCCTGAAATCTAGACTCTCTTCTCCTTATTCTAGTGTCGAAATGCAGCCATAATGTGCCCACACTTGTAGGTTTTATTTATTTTATTCATTTAGCCTTATTGGATTTATGTGCTGCCCATCTCATTTGGAGGTGACTGATAAACATTGCTAAATAATGCTATGTAATTAATTTGAGGCTCCGCATCCTATTCCTCCTGAAGGAGACTAAATGATAAAGAGATTTCTGATTCCAATTACACCATTTTTAAAAATAATGTGTCTGTTTATACAAATTTATTTGGAAATGCGGCCGTACTTTGGTCCTTTATAAGCTGGCTCACTGATTAAAGATTGTAATTGGGTGCGGTAGGGAAAGAAAATAGGGAATTGGCATCATCCTTTCTCCCAAAACATTAGTCTTCAGTAGCAAGTAGCCATGAAACATCTCAAGGTCAGTACTTAACAATAGGAAGTATGATATTTGATTCCTTTCAACTTTTGAAGAGCACTTGTAGCAATTTCTCAGAATAGGTAAAAAGATGGATAGATGAATTTTAAGAGTGTTTCTAAAACATTAAATATGATCTTATGTACATTGACATCATCATGCATCAAAGTAATTTTCATTCCTTGAAAATACGCTGCCAGAGCATTATATCTTTTTTTTCCCATCTTTTTCTACAGAGACATTAGTAAAAATGCCCACTTGGGCTTTAAGCCTTTCCTCTACTGGACGTTCTTGGGATTTTTTCATGCATTTGCTTTCTTCTTTGGCTCCTATCTTCTGATGGGAAAAGACACTTCATTGTTAGGGAATGGCCAGGTAAAGTAGAATGCTAACCTATTATGAAAACTGTATTGTGGAGTATATAATGTGCTATGTACACTGAATCACTGTAAAACATATCTCAGCCAGAAATGTTTGTGCTTTCTTGAGATAGCTATTGAGATACACATTTCCTTGAAAAAAAATTTAAATTTTAATTGCCTAAAGATAAACTAAGAGTTCTGTAAATAATACACATCGATTGAGATACCAAACAGAGTTGGGTGGATATTAACTCTGGGATTTCAGGAGCTGACTGTGAACTGCTCATATTTCTGTTTTATATTCTGTGTGGTGTGTTTCCTCCACAAATTTGCAACCAGAGGATTGGGTGCTCAAGTTATTTATTGACAGTTTGTGAATAAGCATCTTTGAAAACGAACAGAGCTGAGCAAAAACCTCTTTCCCAGAGGTTTCCCAAAAACCTCTTTCCAATAGCCTTACTTGTGAACTGTTATATTTCAGTTATACAACTATCTAACATACCCTGGGTGAACTTGGTTTCTGAATCATTCTGTGGGCACCATCAGGAATCTGGGATAGTCTAGCCGCTGTCTGCTATTTTTAGCTGGAATACGAGAGTACAGCTGTGGGTGAATTCTTAATTTCAGCATAGCTGGCATGCAAGAAGAAAGAATCCATGTTGTTACGTGTGAATTCTGAGAGGTTGATTTAGCTTTGTACTATAACAGCTGTACACCACGATTTTGCACTTTTAGCTTCCTTCTAACTGCCCCCTTTTTTTCATGCTGTGCATGTCATCAGGTATTCAAACCTAAGAGGCAAATGGTAAGATTTTATGTTGTAGGATAAAAGACGTGCAGACCCTAAATGCAGTACCTTCGTAGCCTTAGTCAAGAATGCATCACTCATTCTCCTTGAACACCTTAAAAGAACTGACTGGAAGAGCTTTCCCATCCTTCTCATTCTCAGTGGACAATTATAGTTGTGTTCAAGGAAAGCTCCTTGTGTATTAGTGAAATGTTGCCAAGTTACATGCTTTTTGTCTTTGGTCTCCCCACCCCCTGCCTTTCTACAAACACAGTCCTTAACGCAAACTGTAGGCGGTTTGGAATGTTTACCAAAATCCTCTTCTCTTTCCACCTCTAAAAGTCTCCATGGCAAACATCTACTAATTAATAGTAATTGCTTTCTGCCAGCTTAAAGAAAACTCTTCATAGACAAACCCTCTTTAGGTGAAGGGGACTTGCATCCTCATCCTTTTCACCAAGCTCAGATTTTTCTCAGTTCTCAGAACTTTCAATTGCCTGGTTACAGATAGCAATCCAAGAAAAGGAGAATTAATAAAGGATCGACATGTTGTTAATAGGTATAAAGTGAGAGGACAGCATTGCTATTGATTATGGAATTTGCTTCTTCCTTATGGGCTGGGCTTGGCTATTTTGCAGGGAATCTTGGATAACCTCCCTGTTGAGCTCTGTACCAAAATCCCTTTTCTGGCTTGGAATAATTTCAATTTTAAAATGTCTTTAGAATGTAGTGGAATAAGTGAATATGATGCAGTCAGGGGATGATGCTCTTTCCTCCACAACCATACTTAGGCTGGATTTTTTTTCTGTACAAATCTATATTTACCAAGTTTTATTTATTATTTACCTTTATTGTCAGAGTACAATATATGTACATTGAGATTGGCTGAGCCTCCCTTCGTGCACCCCTCCCACACACACACAACTCTCAGTGAGGACAGAAGTTCCTAACCCAGATCCAATCTTATTACTTTATTATTAGTTAAGGCTTCCAATAGCATTGCAACCCAAACAAGCAGATGGGCTGAATTTAACTACCCATTAACTAAAAATAGTTATTGAAATGAGGAGAAACAATATTTAACACAATCTAGCTCTTTCAAGAAATAAGTGCATAAGTCTAGATTTCTCATGAAACGGGTAAAGGAAATTTCAGATTTTTGCGGGTAAAACTAAACTGGGTGGGATAACCAGTACTGTAGAATTAGGTTCAAAATAATCCTGATTCTTTAGCGGCATGAGCTGAAAAATTATACAGAAATCTAACAGGGACAACTGCAATTTATTTTTTCACTTAAAAAATTGAAATTCATTTACCTATTGGCTTGTTTTATCTTTTATCCCTGCTGATTTTACTAAGTTGCTCTAAATAGGCAAGCGTTCATTTGAGCATCTGGTAGGATTAGCTTGTTAGCATAATGGTGGTGTTGCCTCTTAAGTATTTTCTATCTAATTAAATTTCTTGTTTTCCTTTTTAGATGTTTGGAAATTGGACCTTTGGTACTCTGGTCTTCACAGTTATGGTTATAACTGTTACAATGAAGGTACTGCAGTGAACTTGTGATTATGCTTTCTAAGCTCTTTTTAATTATCTTTAATAACAGTCTGAGATCAATGCTGGTGTGATTTGACTATATTTAACTGGAAGAATTAAGTTAAATTAACATTGAGACCCATCAGTTTCGTTTGTGTTGGGATTTTTCTAACTGAAAACTCCCAGTGAGGTTGTATTCTTCCATTGGAAAACGTAACCGCTCCTACAAATTCAGTTTTTTGAGGTCAAATTATTTATTGAAATGATGTCAAAAGATTCATCTTTGTCTTTAAACCCAGCTATAAAGAACTCCTCAGCTGGAAAAAACATAGGCTCAAGAAAGTACAAAAGTTAGCACGAGGAGAATTTCTTTGATACCTAAACAATGCCATAGTATTATTATTGATCACACAATCAACAATGTGTTCATTGTTTTAATGCTTTTTGCTGTTTTTATTGCTTTCAAATGTTTCAGTTTTATGTTTTGAATTGTGAGCCACCCAGAGTCATTTGCTGAGGTAGGTGGCCATAGAAATCAAATAAATAAATAAATAAAAGCAGCCAGATGTTTAGGCTGAATTTTTGCATTTTTATCCACCTACCACGTCCTTCCCAAGGACAGAATCGGCTATATTCTGCCATGACTGTTTGATCAAGAACTGGCCTTTTTTCAGTTGACCAGTGTAAAAATCAGCTACAGAGAAGGAGGCATTCATGTGCAGAACCAATGTCGTTTTAGGGGTTTCAGAACCAAGGTTGAGCACATCTTGGATTTAGAATATGAATTCCCAACATATGGCTCTCAAAAACATATGAGAGCAATTTGGCGTAGCAGTTAAGATATCAGGCTGGAAACCAGGAGACAGGCTAAAAACTGGGAGACACTGAGTTCAGTCTCACCTTAGACACCAAGACATCTGTGTAATCTTGGGGCAGTCCTTCTTTTTCAGCCCTGGGAAGCAGTCAGTGGCAAGCCACTGCTAAAATCTTACCCAGAAAATTGTGAACCTTGTTCAGAAAGTTGCCAGCAGTCAACACTGACTTCAAGGTACACACACACACACATACAAACATGCAATGTTTTCACAGGCTTTAGCTTTGTAATTACCTGTTTATTTAGAGATACAATTTTCTTTATTTTTTTGTGCTTAGATGGCAATAGAGACTCACTTTTGGACTTGGATAAATCATTTTGTTACTTGGGGGTCCATTGGGTTTTACTTCATCTTTTCCTTATTCTATGGCGGAATAATCTGGTAAGTAGTTAGCTCTATGCAAACAAAAGAGTTGTAAAATATTGCTGCCTTAAATTCTTGCCATCAACAAAACCATGTTTGGACCTGTAAGCAGGCTGTGTGACCAGTGGTGCATGTGTTTGTGTCTACGTATATGTATGTATACACAAACAGAACTTGTATTGCTGCATTCCTCTGAGCAGCTAAACCAACAATCTGGCACATAAAATGAAAAGAATAATAAAAAATAGAAATACCATCATATTATCCATTTGTTCATTATCCATTTCGGAGGGCTTTGTTGTTCTATAATGGCCCTTCTTTGTTGCCCAAATTTGAAGATACAGTTTTAATTTTACTTTAAAACTAGAATTTGACATAGTATCAGAGATGGATGACCAATCCGTGCTAGTTTTTACACAGGCAAGCTACTGTTTATAAAGAGTGAACAAACCCCACACTTACTAGCACTGATGATGTTACCTAGTTGGGTAATGAAACATCTACAAGCAAACAACTAAGTCAGAACGTATCATGAACCTCAGAACTCAATCCTGAGTTCCATGTATTCTCTTTTTGGAGGAAAGGCAGGAAATAAATCTAAGGGATGAAATAATCTAATTGATTATTTCAGTGTCCCATTTTTCAAATACATGAAAACCAAAACTTCTGCCACATTAATTTTTAGAGAAATGGATAAAAAGCTGAAACCTCCAGAATTTTAGGGCTTGGCTGCACATTGACACAGCCTTTCAAAATGCAAAATACAATTATCGATTTACTAGGGGAAAAATAAGGATGTATTTGGAATGTACTTCCCTTCCTTTTTTTACTTTAGATCCTCAGCTCAAAAGTTTTGCCTCATTCATTTCTAAATCGCAGTCAGACTTTTAAACTTCAAAAGGATTGGAGCTACATTCATTGACTGATTACTTAGGAATGCAAACTTGCGTCTCTTGAGTTCAAAAAGGCATATGCCACTACCTTCATCAGAGAAGCTGACTGCCAATTATTATTATTATCACTCTCCATATCTCTTAAGTTTCCTCATTATCTCCCTTCAATATTCTAAGGCAGGGGTGTCAAACTCAATTTCATTGAGGGCCACATCAGGGTTGTGTTTGACCTTGGGGTGTGTGGCCATAGTGGGCGTAGCCAGCTCGATGTCTCTCGTGTCGGGGGTGTCTATGGTGGCCCAAGCTCCCTGCCAGCAAAAAGGGGCTTCCAACCTCCATTTTCGGCTGCGATAGTCTCCTGCAACCCTCTGCCAGTGAAAATGGAGTTCAGGAGGGCAGCCCTCCTGAGCTCCGTTTTCACTGGCAGAGGCACTCGGACTGGTTCTTTGCTGTGGGCCAGATCTAAGTACCCCATGGGCTGGATGTGGCCCATGGGCCTTGAGTTTGACACCCCTGATCTAAGGAGTCTGTCGCTGCACAGTTTCACGTGACCAGAAGTTGAATATTTGCTGCTATGAACCTGCCCAGGCTTTGAGATCCATGTTAGAAGAGATGTTCTCTAGCTCCAAAGCCCTGAGGCTGGCAGATACTAGGAACGGGACTTTCTCTATTATGGATATTATATCGTTGGAATTCATTCCCTGGGAGATACAAGTACTCCTCGACATAACGGCCACAGTTGAGCCAGAATTTCCATTGCTAAGCAAGGCAGTTGTTAAGTGAGTTTTGCCTCATTTTACGACCTTTCTTGCCACAGTTGTTAAGTAAACTATTGCTATTGTTAAGTCAGTAACACATAGTAAAACGAATCCGGCTTCCCCATTGACTTCGCTTTCTAGAAGGTCACAAAAGGGGATCACATGACCCTGGGACATTGCAACCGTCATAAATATGACCCAGTTGCCAAGTGTCTGAATTTTGATCACGTGACCATGGGGATGCTGCATTAGTCTTAAGTGTGAAAAACAGTCATAACTCACTTTGTAAAGTGCCGTTGTAACTTCAAACCGTCCCTAAACGAATGGTTGTAAGTTGAGATTACCTGTACTTAACAATTTCATCACTTTTCAATTTTTAACATTTCCTAGCGTTCTTAGGAGTGTCATCTAAATCGGGTCCACAACCCCCAGGTTATGGCCTCCCTCCAGGCCATGGCCTAGTCAGAAACTGGGCCACGCAAGAGACAGACCAGCGCATGCGCGCAGCTCCATTGACACAGGCAGCAGGCCAATGTGCGCACGCAGCTCTACTGACACAAATGGCCGGGCGGCACGTATGCGCCAGCCCACCTGTCAGCTTTGGAAGCTATATTGAGACCAGATGCTCCCACGCTGCCACATTTTGAGCCTGGGAAAGTGGGAGGGGGGAATTTCTCGGAGTATATGCAGTTAGACATAATAGCATTGTTTTTCTAATTCAGGGTCATGTTATTTTGGGCATAAGTGTGGGGAAGTCTTAAATTGGGACAGATGGTGATCGGGGCATGTGATATGATGATGGGTGCAGGGGATGGATTTGTACTTTTTACTTATTGCAAGGAAGCCGGAGCTTTCAGATGCTGGATTCCCCAGTTGTGCCCATTGCTATCCAAAATAAAAGGACATTTTGAAAAGATGCCTGTCTCGGAGTTATTGGTTGGAGTGGAGGTTTGCTGGAACGCTGTCGTTACCACTTGCATGGCCCTGTTCCCCTGTCTCCCCCCCGCCTCCAGCCAGGCCACCAAGCTGCAAAGGTTAGGGACCACTGACCAAATGTCTTCCTTTGCTGCTTGTTAATTCCCATTTTCTTGTCTCTTTATCCTTCCAGGCCGTTTTTGCACACCCAAGACATGTACTTTGTATTTGTTCAGTTGCTGTCCAGCGGTTCTGCTTGGTTTGCCATAATCATCATAGTTGTCACTTGCTTGTTTCTTGATGTTGTGAAAAAAGTGTTGTATAGACAGCTGCTGCCCACAAGTACAGAAAAAGTCCAGGTAACTTTTGCTTATAAGTGGTTTGATTAACATTGAAGATATGGGGAAGATTAAATTTTTGAGCCTTTCCTTGAATCTTTGTTGCTATTTTATTTGCAATTCTTAATTTACCATGACCCTATGGTGAGTATTTTTTTTAATACCTACTTTCCAGCTATTAAAATGTAATTGTTTTTGTTTTCCTCTTGGTCATATTGCAATGAAATAAAAGTATTAATAAAGCTAAGGGAGTAAGTTTTCTAAAAATTCTTAACAGAGCCATGGTGAAATATTAAATATCCAGTGATTCAGTTGTGAACTAATTCCATTCTTGCCAGCTCAATTGCTTATTATTAGTAAATAAATATTGATTTAGCATCTATCATAATAATTTAGTAATACATGTAAGTACTGTTATCAAATGACCTTGCGATTTGAGGTAGCTATTTTTTCCCAAGATGCATTGATTTCTTGCATGGAGAATATTTAAAATTCACTGTAGCACAACCTAGAATAGTTTTCCCCAACCTAGACTCCCAACAGATGGATGAATTTTAATTTCCCAAATTTCCGGCTGGCTATGGAATTCCAGAAAAAGTCCACACATCTGGAGGACACATACCAGATCAGATACCATTCCCAACATTTCTTTGCCTTTGGCAATTGCTTAGAAAAGGAGCTGGTAAATGTTTGGAAATCCAGCAGGTAAAAATACTGTGAGAAATGGCGGGATTAATAAATGTATTTTGAAAGAGACCAGATCCTGCTGACCATAGGTTCTTTTTTAAACTTTGGGGAACGGAGAGAATCTTAAAAATCTGCTCTGTAGTTCTGCTTTCCCATATTTGAGTTTATTGTATGATCACTTATTGGTCATCTCTGGTTTGGAGAAAACACTTTTCCACAGTCTTGTTGAGCTACACTAGTGCATTTTCTGGGAGGTGTTGCAAGAGCGCTGATGACCATTTGGTTTCCGTTACAGAATCATTTCCAATATAATAGAATCTGACATTTCTGAAGTGAGAAAAGTCAACTTTCTCTGTGGTTCACCTCAGAGAATAATCTTTGCAATGCATCCTATAGGTTTTTAGCTTCATTTCATGAAAGAAAGGCATTCTTCATTAGTTTGCCACTTAATGAAAAATTACCCCTGTACATTGTTCTTACATGCTTTTAGAATCATATGCTTACTTACAAGCTAAAATTATAGTTATATTAACCATCACGTATTTGGACATGCAGTTATCATAAATTCATTCAGCAGAATAAAAATGCTAGATCAGGGGATCTCAAAGTTGACAACTTTAAGACTTATGGACTTCGACTCCCAGAATTCCTCAGTCAGCCATGCTTAGAGAGTTGCCAAGTTTAGAGATCCCTGCGCAAGATCGTTCTTCGTTTTTTCACATAGTTAACATGTGAAAGTGAAGTGTCTCCTCTTATTTTTTAAATGGCAGTTGATTTTTCCTTTGAAGTCCATTTATTAGGAGAGCCTGTGCAATATGTTGAATGTCCTTGGGTCTGCGCAGGATACTATCAGCTGGTCCTGAGACTTCCTAGCAACATTAAGTTGTTGCTGTACCCAGTATTACCAGACAATTGACGTGTGTACTTTGTTTATCTTGACCAAAACCACAGCAGCTCATATTAAGCAGAGAGTTATAAAGGGACAAATGAACACAAATAAAGGGCCAAGGTTAGAGATTGCCTGCTCATTATCACCTGTTCCTATTTTTTTAAATGTAGTTATTTAAATAGCATGGCAGTCCTAATCTCTGTTTAAAATCTCCCTCCCAATCAATCCTATGCAATTAATATCTTAAAGAAAAATCAGAAGGTTTCTGTAACATTGAACAGCCTTCCCCAACCAAAATGAAATTAATAGATGAGTTGGGAGGGAGTACAGTGAATACATCCAGAGGGGTACCAGATTGAACATCACTGGTATGGGATAACACTTTAGAGAATGGGACTCATAATGACATCCTTAATCTCTTTGATTAAGCATGGATCTGAACAGAGCACTTGCACTTAGAGATAAAGCAAGACTGATTTTCGTGGTTTTTTTAGGAAGGTGTTTCTGTATGCTTGTAAGCATTTTATTTTCTTCGTCCTCTCTCAGATGTGCAACTTATTAACTTGTCCACGTGGCAGGACTGGATCATGTTGGAAAGTTAATCAAATATATGTGCAATAGTAAAATAAATGGATTAATCTGAAAGCTTTTGTCTTCTTACTTGACTGAAGAGGTTATAGGTTCCTAAATGTAGGAGAACTAGAACATCTTCCTACATTGGCCACTCAACCCAAGGCTGTTGCAAGTTGTACTTCAGCAAAATCTGGAAGATTCCATGTTCTCCATTCATGTCTAATTTGACAGGTGCCGGCCATACTGAAATCAATCCCTGCTTCTTGTTACACTGAAACAAATCTGATTAAAATCCCCAAGTTACCTTTGCCATCCTATATAATTGTATGCAGCCATTGAACATAACTTCATTTTTAAGGAGAAAGAAATGGACACTTGCTATTTAAGACTAACCTTTCTGCTTCTTTAAGCAGAAATACTTTATTATATATATTTTATAGCCGTGGTCAACAAGCAGCTTCTATTTTTCACTCACCTTTATTGGAATTTTATTTTTAAATTATAAGAACTCTGTTTGTGATAAGGTTGTCTGAAGATGATAAGCATGAAAAGAGCAATTTTAATTATAAAGAGCTAATTCAAGTGAAAAATCCATGTAGAAAAAATCTAGATTGCCTGTTTATAGTAGAGAAAGTGATCCAAGAAAATCCAGGTCCATATAACTGTTCCGACTGTTATCTTGAGAAAAAGCAAAGTCAGCATCTTTCTTATTGACATATTTGAACACTTCTCACAAACTGATTTCAGTACGTATACAATAGGTGAGAACCTGCTTATGGTCTCAAGCAGAATAGGATGATAGATACAAGAATCTTACCATTCATATTGACAAATGCCCTTAACCAGGTCAGTGTCAAAACTTTCAGCTGCATTTATGCAGGTAATCCTCGGCTTACAACCACAATTGCACCCAAAATAGATGTTGCTTAGTGAGGCAGTTCTTAAGTGAGTTTTGCCCCACTTTACATCTTTCTTGCCACAGTTGTTAACTGCAGTTAAGTTAGTTATTAAATGAATCTGGCTTCCCCATTGACTGCCTGTCAGCATCTGAATTTTGATCATGTGACTATGGGGATGCTGCCATGGACATAAATGTGAAATAAGTCACTTCTTTTCAGTGCTGTTTTAACTCCAAATGATCATTAGATGAACTATTGTAAGTCGAGGACTACTTGTACAGCTTTCTAAAGGGGCAGAGTGTGATGCTGGATCTCTTGTGTGAGCTCAACTGATTTAATGATTAACCACCTTAAACATCTTGCATGTACCCAGCTAATAATTGATAATTCTTAAGATCTGATGAGAAGTTTTTCTGCTAATGTTCAAATCATTAAGGGTGATAATACAAAGTTCCTATTGAGTAAGTCTCTTATATCAATATTCAAATTATTTTTATGTAATTAACTCGACCTTCATTGTGGACTAGGAGTTTGGCTTTTTAAAAGTCTATAACTTGATTTAGAAAGCCATGACATTTCTTCTGGAAATTGATACTGAAAGTCTGAATGGGGATGAAATGTACCATTCAGAAGTAGTTGTAGTCATTTAAAAAACTAGCTACATGTAAATGCCTAATTTTTAACTTTAGATCAAGAGGAAGAGTTGACTGTCTAATTAAATTACATTCAAAGAACAAATATATGATCATCTGATTATATTACTACTTCATCTGGAGGGAACAAGATTGGAAAAAGCCAAGTTAGAATCATGTAATCACATAAAGATCTAGATTTTTTTTAAGTGTTTAAGAAATAACAATTTTTGGTTTATTTATTTTGCTAAGAAATCCCAGTGAAATGGAAGTCCAATTCTGTTGACATACAAGCTTTCTACAACTTTCTACAGAGATAAATGACTATGCCCTGTAAATACAACCATTGTTTTGAACTCTGATCACACAAGCATTTAAGAAGCCCCTGAAAACCAAATTTATTTGCATCCAGTATCTCTTTTGAATTTGTATTTAATTGTGGGGAAGATCCTGAAGGCATGTTTTGTTTATCGTGTGATATTTGCATATGCCAAAATGGCTGTTTGTCAATTTAATTGCAAGTGGAAATGCAGTCTTGATTTGACTTTACTGTTTTATATCTTCTTGCTGTCATCTTCTATGGCATTATTTAGTTCATAGGAGGAGGGAAATATACCTCTAAAGAAAACATCTCAGTAAGAAATCCCCTCTTTTCCCTTTTTTTAAAATAAGATGTGGATTATCTGTTCATCCCAACCCCTGTCTCTAAATGCAACAGCAGCTTTAAAATTCGGCAGCTAAGACTGAATGACATAGATGGTTTTTAGAAAATGGCCTGCTTATATTAAGTTTCCTACGTGTAAGGAACACTGGTTTGCAACTCCAAGAACAAAAGTTAAACGGAATCGTAACCGGGAAGCGAATTTATCACAAATTCCCCTTAAACAATGCAGATGGGTATAAATACTGCCTCTATCGAACTGAGAACCAAAATCCTTCCCTGCGTGGATCATGTTGTTCCCTACCCTTAATCCTTCAGAAACCAGTGTCTCTGCACATACCTGCTTTGCAAATGAAAGTTGTATCTTTTTGAGAACTTTGTCCTGTGTCTGCCTTTTTTGAACAATGTGACTACTTCTCACTGATCTGTGTGTTCCATCCCCTTCTTTGTCCACTTGTAGATGTACTCCAGCAGAGTTGCTTTAAGTGACGAATGCATCGCACTACAGCCGTTGTCCAGGGCAACAAGTCAGCTGAGCAAAATTAGGTAGAGTAGGAGGGGCAGTTCTCCATCCAATTTTATGCATGATGAAGGTCAGCTAACCAGCACTTAAGAGAAGGGGAAAAGGCATGTTGTACTCTAGTGTGAACTAAGAGGGCAGTCACAGCTGCACAAGTTGG